TTATTTGGCCAGTCGGGTCGAACAAAAACGACTTTTGTTTTATATTTCATTTAGATACGTGATAACACAAGTTTACTTGTGTCGTTACCTTGCAGTACTTTTTCAAACTGATCAAGTCATACAAAGCATTGCAAGCTTTTGACTTTGGAAATAAGGTTCAAATATATGTGCGAGTACCTTATTACTTTTCTTGAGAGAGACATGCTTATTTTATAGAATGTATACGGCAAATTGGCAATATCTAACTGTTGGGGTTTCCGCCCCCTCTAACCCGTTGGTTTACAGTTCAGCTGCAGATTGAGGAAATCAGCAGGAAGCTACGCACTGGAGATCTTGGAATTCCACTTAACCCTGAGGAAAGGTTTGAAAGAAACTTACATACCAAAAATGAACATTACATACCTACAATACCTATCTACTGAACATACAGCAGCCCGTAATACACAGGAGCCCTAAAAGATATCTTTGTGGCTCAAAGGTTCAGTTAGCGTGGGAATACCGATGTCCATTTGAAAACGTTGGGCTTGCGTAGAGCCCCCATGCAACGCAGAAGATGAATTTTGATAGTATTGGTTTGCCCTAATCAATCTTTTTTAATATCTCATTTTTATTAAACACTGCTGCAGTGCTCGTGAGTCATATATCTTTAAAGTTTCAATTTTAAGACGTACACGTGTGGCATAATTAGACACGAGTTCTTGATAGATTTGAGATTTGAGATTTGAGACTGATACGATGAACTGTGTCAGTAGCAGTGTTTAAAGAGAACAGAGTGGGTATTCTAGTTCATACGTCTTGTATAGATAGATTTTTGCACACATAGAATAACTCTGAGGTGACCTATCGTAATCTTTTTCTAGCACGCGGTTTAAAAGTGTGGAATATTAGCAATCAGACATTTCATTATTCGATATTTCACTCGTGGTCTACAACTTTATGCATGGGTCATCTTGAGTGAGATTTTGTCCGTCCCTTTATTCAGGCTGCCGTGCGTTGCACGGCACATTTTAAAATTGTTATAATAATCTTGATGCCACGAGGAAGATCGTTAATCGACTTGCCAATATCTGTTTCTAATTACAACCTTAATGAGCAGATTTCAGGAAAATATCAGTTTATTGAAATTCTCATTTGTACCGTAATATTGTAACAAAGAATTTAACGTTACTTTCAGGTACAGGTCTTAAATAATAAATGCATATACTTTTTCTCTAATAAATTAATTTATTCCAATAGGTTTAACTTTTCCAATTTTAGCTGGAACCATTATTTTTATGTCATTGTGTTTCCGTTAATATATAGTAAGACATACCACACGTACGTTATAACTAATACAAAAGATTATTTCTTAATAATCACAGGATCTGTCTTAGCAGCTGACATCATACCGATATCTGCCGTGCACAAACGCGCAGTCTTCCAGTGGTTGCCTACTATAGAATACTAAATATACAGCTATGCTATATATTCGGCACCGACAATTTTTCTGTTCTTTCGTTCGATACCTTGGCACTGTTGGAAAATTCTATAATACACAGTCTTGTTGTAGTTTTTAAAAATACATAACTGATTACGTAAGCAAACTGATACAATGTCATGCAATGACTTCCTTAGTACATCTACAGCTGGATCTACAGCCTCAATATTAACACCTATTACTATATATTACTGTTATGGAAGCAAACGTATTGCATATTATTTAAAATTTTTTTTATAAGTTACATAGCTTTTTTCTGATATATTGCAGACAAAATTTTTAATACAAAATATTTTTTTCCAGTAGATAAATTTACAGCATAAATTTTATCATTTATTAAGAAATTTTAAATTTCTCAGATAGTATATTTATAGAGAAGCTAAATAAAATCAGTATCAAAAGAAAACGTGCATAATGGCTTATTTATCAGAGTCTATATACGCATAACTCTCTGCTCTAAATCAACGGTTCTTCCCCACTTGAATATATTCATACAGTCATAGTAGGGTCAGGTTGCTTGTACGCTAGTGTACCATCTTGATGAAAATTTATATCTTGATATGGTATTTATTTTTTTATTTTTCAGATCCCCGTCTCCCGAGCCTATTTACAGTAGCGATGGTAAACGGTTGAACACGAGAGAATATCGGACGAGACGTAAATTAGAGGAAGAACGTCATAATCTGATTCAGAAGATCCTTAAAATCAATCCAGAGTTCAAGCCACCACCAGATTATAAGTGAGTCACAGAGATGAACCATATATTTTTTATGGTACGTTTTTACACGAAATATTCATTTTCTTAATATTTATATTTACTTTTTCCCAGGCCACCAATAATACGAGTCCATGATAAAGTAATGATTCCTCAGGAAGAGCATCCTGATATAAATTTCGTTGGTTTGCTTATTGGACCGCGTGGAAATACTCTAAAATGTAAGTAGTACAAAATGCATTTAAAAGATTATGGATAAACTGACACAACGCATATACAGTTGGAAATCTTAATTTATATTCTCTGTTTAAAACGTGTTTAGCTATGGAAAAGGAAACTGGGGCAAAGATTATAATTCGTGGAAAGGGCTCTGTAAAGGAAGGAAAAGTTGGCAGGAAAGATGGGCAGCCTTTACCGGGCGAGGATGAACCCTTACATGCATATATTACCGCAAACAATTTAGATGCTGTGAAGAAAGCCGTGGAACGAGTATGTGCAGTTATCGCATTTTTTTTTAATATAATAGGTAAATAAAATGACCAAAATGTAATTACGTGTACTCGTGTTTACAGATTCACGAAATTATTCGGCAAGGTGTGGAAGTGCCGGAAGGTCAAAACGACTTGCGTCGTAATCAATTACGCGAGTTGGCTTTATTGAACGGAACATTACGCGAGAATGATGGACCTCGTTGTACAAATTGTGGAGCTTCGGATCATAAATCTTGGCTGGTTTGTGAAATTGTGTAATATTTTATCGAAAAGATCTTTCTTATTTCTGTACCTAATATAATATCGCGTGAATTTCAGTGCCCTGATAAACCAAATGTGACCAACAACATAGTATGTTCAAGTTGTGGTGGTGCAGGACATATTGCTCGAGATTGCAGATCAAAGAGACCCGGTCAAGGAGGTCCCGCAGCCGCTGGAATGGGGGGAATGGGTCAAGCTGGAGATAAAGCTAAAATAGATGAAGAGTACATGTCGCTCATGGCAGAATTGGGAGAAGGCCCACCACCGGACAGATCAAAAACGGGACAAAACAGACAGACTCCCAATCCCAATTATCCCGGACTGTTTGATAGGTACATTTTTTCTTTCTTATTTTTTCCCCGTGCAACGATCTTTTTTACATTTACATTGGATGCGATTATTTTGTCTTTTTCAGACAACAGCCACCTCGCGCGTTAATGGCAGCTCCAGCACATCCACCACCGCAGATGATGCAGGGCGGTCCAATGATGCCGCCCCCGGGCATGGCACCGCCACCGTGGAGCCAAGGAGGCGAAGGGATGAACAACATGAACATGCAATGGCAGCCACCGGTAAGCATGCCGCCGCCGCCAGGAGTGATGCAGCCGCCACCGCCACCACCTGGTTCAACTACGCAGCCCAACATTCCGCCGTTAATGCCATGGATGGCCGGCAACACGCAACCGCCGCCACCAGGTCAAATGCCGCCCACGCAGATTCCTCCGCCCGGGATGGGCATACCGCCGTGGCAGCAAGGTCAGCAGGGACCGATGCGGCCACCACCGCCGGGCACGGCGCCGCCTCCGGGATTCCCCGGTGGTTGGCAGCCGCAACAGATGGGTGGCTGGCCACCGGCTGCCCCGGTCCCACCTCCGCCTCAGCAACAGACTCCTGCACCACCCGGGATTGACCTGAACACGCTGCCGACATTACTGGCGCAACCACCGCCGCCACCTCCGCCCACCAGTTAGTCCTAATCACGTAACGAATGACTTTTGATCTATGTAATAGCCAGACGATATATTGAGATGGAG